CTTCCAAGTTTGACGAACTCAAGCTGCAATCTCTCTTCCTCCGTTCCTTTGCGGACCTTCGGAAAACCGATTGGCAAGGTGCGTAGTAATAGATCCCAATACTTATGAAGTGTGACTGATGTGTGCTTCATCTTTAGGCGATGACAACACCACCGTTTCTGGAGTTACCACGACACATCTCCAGAATCCAGATACTGGATCTTCATTCTACATCACCCGGCACACAGATACGACCGTCTCGTGAGTATTCCTAATAATTCCTTGCGACGCATCATTCTAAAGGCGACATCAAGCACATCGTTAACCCTGCAGCTGACTGTTGGTGCTGCCAACATCACAGTCCCTCAACTTGGCGGAAATGCTACTCTGCTGGGTCGTGACTCGTTCATTACAAGGTTGGGCTTCAATTGGTCGTTGCTACAATCCATCACTGACCTGAAAAAATAGCACTGATCTCGCCTTTGGATCGTCATCGAAGCTGCTCTATTCAACCGCAATGCTCTTTACGACAATCCAACTAGGCGGTGACGATGCTCTCTTCGTTTACGGAAATGCAGGTCTTGTGTATGAGGTTGCCGTTGAAGTGGATGAGGCGCCCAGCGTTCTGTCCGCAGGTGCCACCCAGGTCACGACAGAGTATATTCAAGTTTGTCCCCACACCGCATGTTGCTGAGGTTTGTGCTGACATCTCCATTGTAGAACCAAAAGGCAGTTGTTATCAACTTTACCGTCGCATCAGGCCTCACGACTGTCAAGCTTGGCGCTGGGCAGAAGACCATCGTGATTCTCATTGCTGACTATCCCACCGCAACAAACCTCTGGATGCCAACGATTGCTGGGGAAGGTGAATTCGCAAACTATGTTGACATCGCGGCATCCGCACCCCTAGTAGTCCGAGGACCATACCTTGTCAGGACTGCGACACTTTCAAACAACGCGCTCGCCTTGACGGGTGACTTGAACCAAACCACGACACTCACACTATATGGTCCCAGCACTTTGTCGTCTCTTACTTGGAATGGCAATCCTGTTAATGCAAAGAACATCGCCGGAGGTACCTGGCAGGCAACCCTCACTATAGAGAATGTTCAAATCGAAATCCCTGACCTCATGAGCGCAAGGTGGACCTATGCAGACTCGCTTCCAGAGAGAAGTCCAGACTGGGATGACTCTGCGCTTATCCTCGCCGACCATACGACGACAACAAGTGTGTTCCCACCATACTATGGCGGCCCGTGGATTTTGTACGCTGACGACTACGGCTTCCACGTACGTCGATCTCTCTGTTCGATTTTGAAGCCGAACTCACATCCTGTATCTGCAGGCTGGCAATTTGCTCTGGCGCGGTACCTTTGTGAATAACGCATCACTACCTGCACCTACCGCAGTCAACCTGAGTATCTCTGGTGGCCAAAACTTCGCAGCCTCTGCATGGCTCAACGGCAACTTCTTGGGCAGTTCGGATACCCGTGAGCCCACGAATAACGAGACGTGGCCGGTTACGTCTGACATGCTCATCGAGGGCGTGAACTATGTTATCGTGCTTCAGGAGTGAGCAAGTTTATAATTTTAAGCAGTATTAGATTCTAACGTGCATGGTCAGTAACATGGGTGGAAATCTCGCTGGCCAGATTGTTTGCTGCACTCCTGGCGGTCGTCAACGCGATTTGCAACAGCCTCGTGGTATCCAGGTGCGACTTTCGACACTAACCTGCAGTACACTGACTAACTGTCTTCTTTTAGGGTTACTATCTTGAAGGCCGCCCCGAGACTGCTCAGTTCACTGGGTGGAAGATGACTGGAAACTATATGGGCGAGAACTTCCCCGACAAGACTCGTAAGATTTTGAACGAAGGTACGTTTTGCATTATAAGGGCAAAGTACTATGATGTTGAAGCATGTGGATTTCCGTATAGGTGGTTTGTATGCAGAGCGCATGGGCTGGCATCTTCCTGGCTTTGACGATTCACAGTGGGAGTTCCGCACTCCATTCCAAGGCCTTTCAGAACCTGGAGTATGTTTCAATTCCCTCTCTCCTCTCTGTTCTATCACTTTCTTACCATGGTTTCCGCGCTTTTAGGTTGGATTCTTCCGCACTACGTTCACGCTCAACCTCCCCAAGGGTTACGATATCCCCCTTGCTGTCGTGTTTGACTCAGCTGAGGGCTGGTATCGCTGTACGTGTCTTCTCCGTCTGTAACTCGATTGGTTGTATCTCATTTGGATGCACGCACAGCACAACTCTACATCAACGGATGGCAAATGGGCAAGCGCGTAGCGAACATTGGTCCCCAGACATCTTTCGTCGTGCAACAGGGCATCTTCGATTATCAGGGTGAGAACACTGTGGCCGTGAGCTTCTGGAGCTTGGGCAGCAACGCTACCGATCTCGCCCTGCCCAGCCTACGGATTGTGGAGGCAGCTATTATTGAGAGTGGCACCACGGATGGGGTTGTGTATGATAATCCCGACTGGCAGCAGTTGAGAGGATGAAGGCAGTTGCTGACGAACAAAAAAAAAACATGAATTGTTATAAAATTGGTTTTGTATAACTCAATAAAGGGAAAGTACTTTGGGCACGACCTTGACTTCATACCATCATCACGGAATTGTAAGCTCAAGAAACGCAGAAATGCCGTGTATACGAGTCCGATAGTTACAGATAAATAAATTGTGGTATGCAATAGATGATGATGTATGTACTCAAGTCCAATAATGACCAGGTTATTCTGGCATGCCATTCCTCATATTATCAAACTTACTCCCTTCATACTTCAGCCAATTATGCTGATCATAACGCAACCCACCCATCGCATTCTTCACCACCGTCACCAAGCTATTCCCAGGCTGCAGGTCCTTCCCCGGTCCACTCTCCATCCCCTCCCTCGTCTGTCCCTTATCCCCACTCAGTTCCCAGAACATACTCCCCGCAAGACCCTCATTCTTTATCCACTCCCCCTTCCACATCCCCACTTCCTCGCTGTCAAAGCTGACCATCTCCTTCGTGGTGTAGTTGTACGTCCAGCTCGCCAGCGCCTTGTCGTCGCGCAGCACGTATGAGTCAGGGAGCGGAAGCGCGCGGTAGTCGTATACGCCGGCTTCCCAACTGCCCCCGCCGATGCCTGTGAATGGTGTGCCGGGACCTTGCGTGTTCATGAAGGAGCGTCCGTATAAGGGGATTCCCATGACGATTTTGGAGCGGGGGACGCCTTGGGCGACGTAGTAGTGAATGGACTCGGCGGCACTGATTGGACCACCGAAGACGTTTGCTTGGTGGTTGGCGATCTGGTCCCACGAGCCCGCTGCGCATATGCGAGTTAGTTATGGTCAACCCTTTGGAGGATATACGATGGTGAACTGACAGAAGTCGTAAGCCATCATGTTCCACAGGTCAAGCGATTTGTCCATTTCTGCAATGTACAACTTTTTGTAGTGCTCTGGTCCACATGGTGCCGCGATCTACAGGTCCAATGGAGGTAAGGATGATATAAATGGGCTGAGGGGGTGGATGACACGTACAGTCAGAAGGAATCTATAATCAGCACGCTTTTCATGCGCGTGTCTATCTAAAGCAGCCCGTAACTCCTGCAGAAGAGCGACATACCCCCTTGCCTGTTCGTCATTGCTCGGGTACTCATAGTCCACGTCCAATCCATCGAAGCCATAGTCCTCGAGAAGACGCACGGCCGTGCGTACGAAAGTTGCACGAAGAGCAGGGTTGACGACAATTGGATGGAAAGAAGGCGAGTACGTCCATCCGCCAATGCTGAGCAAGACCTTGAGATGACGGTTCGCCTTCTTGATTTTATAAATGGCCTTGAGATTGCCATAGAGGTTATTGCCAACGTCGTTCCACGAATCACCGGCGTAGTGGATGTCCTTGTCAGCCCAGTCGTCGGAAAGGATGACCTCTCCAGTGTCGGTTTTCAAGTTCGCAAAAGCGTAGAGGATGTGGCTGACAGGGTCGTAGACCGTCAGATAGCAGCGAGATAATAGAGAAGAACTGCGTACGTGAGATCCTGAACTGGGATCTTCGAGGGAGGGAATTTGCGGCCGTAAATGCCCCTGCACGAAAAGATTAAATGGTGACGCGTTCCAAGAGGCAATATATCTACCAGTTAACAAAGCTAGAGGATTATTATTTCGTCAGACACGCGATTACGATTAGGAAAGTGGGAAACTTACTAGCCAACGCTGACTTTTCCCTCGTGGTTGTATTCAGGCATGGTAGTTTCTGTCGTAGAGTTTGGTTTTTCGAAATCAATAGCAGGAGTGGTAGTGGGGGTTGGAGTAGAAAAGTGAGGAATGGAGGCGGACGGTAGAACTGGGTCAATGGTGGCTGACGGCCCGTCTATAGACCAAGACTGACTGAATTTGTACGACGCAAATGCAACAGTGAGTAGGGCAGAGACCAGTAAGATGTAGCGATAGCGTGCTACGGATTTGCGTGGACTTGGGGGAGCTGGAGGAGTCGCCTCGTCTGTGGGAAGACGAGAGTAGGTCGAGTCCATGCCAGTGGAAGCTCGAAATCAGTTTATAATGATGTCAACTGACTGCGCTGTGCACAGGTTCCTATCATCACTACTAAATACAACAAAATTTAGGTATAGACTTGACGGCCGCTAGAACTCACCATTTGTTGTTCCAACACTCGACGACGACGGGCTAAGGGGCCACATATTTATCAGAATACTGGGTGGAGGTCCGAGTGAACTAGTCCTTGCCCTTCCTCCAAGGGACGATGGCGTAGTTGGTTATCGCATCTGTCTCACATAATATGTGCACAGGAGGTCCTCAGTTCGAGCCTGGGTCGTCTCACTTTTGCCCTTCTCCTCGACTAGGTACCAAGCGTAGGCGATTTTTTCGCCTGAATATATGGCAGCCTCTTCATGTATCGTAAAAGAAAGATGCACTCAATGAACTGATTGTAGTCGCCCATCAATATTTAGGTCAAGCGATTATAGTCCCCTCATGTCCTTTCGGTTGTGGCGTCTTAACAAGGGTCGATGGCGTAGTCGGTTATCGCATCTGTCTTACATTGTCATGTCCACAGAAGGTCCTCAGTTCGAGCCTGGGTCGACTCATTTTTACCCTCCAGCAGAAGCAGAACGACCCAACCTTCCATCATTGTGCAACCTAAAATACTTCATGACACTCCGGTGCCCAGATGGAATTTAGGAAACGTTTTAATTAGGTGAAATACAAAGTGTTCTTTGAGCTATGCAAGATGGAAAAGAACGTGGGCGGATGGGGCGGTGGAAGGTGCGATATGGACGCCAGAGTCTAATGCAGCTAAACTACGTGTTGAGCGATGGATGGATGATCTAGATACAAGCATGGTTCGCAAGCATACTTGAAGAGATATAAAGATACGTAATGGCAACAACGAAAACGAAAATGAATATGAAAATGGGGGAGCTATGTATGAAATCCCATGTGATATGTGCCATCCTTGTCAAGGGCTGACTAGTGAGTGTACATATACCTAGTACATCAGGGACATCCCCTGCACGAGTCGGGCACTAGGCTACGACCTCGAGTGCGAGCGCATGCGCGGTGAAGACGGGTTGAAAGGCGTAAAGGGCGTGGGCGTAAAGGGCTCCAGGGCCGTGGACGTTTAATTTGTACACGAGTCGAGAAGACTGTTCTTGGGCCATGGCTGCCCGAAGTCGTTGACCCACGTCGTGAGATTAGGATTTGTGTATGCCTCGAGGTATCTGAAAGAAGACCGCATTTAGCTGTTAAGGTCAATAGATGTGGTAATGGATACACATACGTGTTGATATAGTCTGCAGTTGGGAAGTCAGTTGGATCACATCCGTAGTTGATTGCGTCCTTCGGTTGGTAGACACGAATATAGTCAACCAGCAGCGACGCAGGGAAGGTTAGATGGTCGAAATCAATGTTACCAAAGTTTTCTGACATGCCCAAGTTGACGATGATGTACTATTCAAAAGAGTATTCAAAACGATGATACTCCTGCAAGGGAAAGATGTCGTACCATCGGTTCCTGGGGTACGGGACGCGCTGAAACTTCGACTACACTATCTGCTCCCATGCCAGGTGCTCGAAGTGTCCAAACAGCCTGGTTGTTAGCGATCCAGGTAATATACTGTGCAAAGCAGCCCATGAGTTAAAACTTCTACATTCAAATGTGCTTCGAAATGACGTACCCCAGTATCGAATCCTAGATAGCAATGGGAAGCAGGTCGAGTCAACCACTATGATACACATATACCAGCGAAGGGGAATTTACCAGGCACATACTAAAAATGAATGCGTAAGGCAAAGGTGGTACACTATACAACTTGGTTGACTCACTTCAAAACCATATATTGAGTATCCTTGACCATCCAGCTCGTAAGTCTCTGGATTCGTCCATGTCAGCGCTGAAGTCGTCATTTGCGTGGCTCCTCCAATATAACTGTTCATCGCCGTTGCCGTCTCGTTGTAAATAATCAAGTTCGCCGATGTATTTTGCCAAACATAATTCTCGTTGAAAGGCTGGTATAGCATTACTTGATTAATTAATGGTCGTCGTAGTTTTGGGATAACACTTACCGCCCACTGGCACGACTGTGACACTTGTCCAGTCAGTGTGTCTGCATTGACCTAATGACGTATTAATGACTGCGATTTAGATAAAGAAGAATCAAGCTCACCAAGGCTTCGAAAACATCGATTTCAGGCGCGCCACGTCCCACATATGTCCCGTCAGAATGCACTGGCCCTGGATGACTCTCTCCCGTGCATGTACATCGTGACAATTTTTGACCAGGCAAAAACGAAAGGTGCATATCGTTGTAAGGATCACCCTCGGTGACTGCGGCGGCGGGCAGGCCATTGATGGTTTGATTTGGCGCAGTCCCAACATCACACGAGTCGTATGTGTATGGCCACTGGTAAATAAAAATAAGTACGGCGTTCGCTATAATGGTGGGACCGATGTGCGCACCATTCCGTCAAGAGTAGCACCATAACCAGCACGCCCTAGGTTGCCCATGGTCCAGACGGCAGGCCAAAGACCAACGACATTGTTCGGACCAGGGAGTTGCACGCTAGCCTCGATGTATCCACCAGTGAAACAAAATTTATTCCTGATTGCCAGATAGTCAGGGGAAAACGAATAGAAGGGTTGAAACGATGATTAACAAACCATGTAGACATCATACCTGATCAAGACCAGAGTTTTAATGAAAAAAACGAGTAGGTTAGCAGACGATGCTTACCGCCCTCATAGCTGAGATTGTGAGTTTGCTTGCTGGATAGTGTAATGACCAGGGAACCATTCGCAGTCGTTATCGCCTCAGGATCATACCATTCCAAGTTGTTGGTTTCCTAAAAATAGAACCACCAATATTAGAACATATTATTTTTGTTTCCAGAACATATCCAACTCACCCAGTAATGGAGATTGACAGCTTCCCAGTATGGGTCGTCTCCAGGGTAAAAAGTGCGCCCATCGGTGTTGAATTCGTCCGAAAACACAAGTTGCATATCAGATCCGCCCTCTGTCCAAGCTGACATAGTGTAGGCAGATTCTGGTGTCTCGAGGTCGATGAGTCCCCAATTTCCGCTCATGGACGGAACCTGTCATTGTAGCACAGTCGATAAGCGCGCGAAGGAGGAAAGTGGCGTTGTGGAGTTCCTTACCTGACCCGTGGCGTTAGTTCCTCCGAGATTGAAGCCCCCTTGCGTCGACAACGTATGTTTAGTGAAATAGCTGATTATCGGGTACCCAGCACTGGCAAGCGAAACGAAATGTCAGAAGATGAATTGAATGAACGTTAAATGACTCGCAATAGTGTGAGAAGCCCGACGCCCAAGATGAAGAGACAGCCAAAGTTGGCGATACCACGAGCTGAGAAGATTGAGCCACCGCGCTCGATACTAGTCGCTGTGAAACCTCTTGCAGGGTTATGGAGTTCGTCATCTGGCTCGACGACGTTGACCGAGAGATCCGAGCCCCATTGCCGTGGGTCGGGAGAAAGGGAGTACTAGGTGTGCAGAATGGGTTAGTGATATATGTATAGGTGCAGAAAAATAGCGCACGGAAGCTGATATGCCAGATTGAGGAGATAGAAGAGTGGGATAAGGAGTTTCAGTGTTTGAAGACTGTTGCAAAGGATGAGGAGGGTAGCAACGGAGGACATAAAATTTACAAACAATAGTGCTGTTGGAACCGCGGTAGCGGCGGGCCCACATTCCGGACATGGGGGAGAAGGTGAAAGGAAGGGTATACTAGAAAAGAGCGTAAAGAGCGTCAGCGGGTGGTGGTTGCGAAAGGGAACAAAGGGTGCGCAGCGAAGGTGGAGTTGTGTGATTTGGCAGGTCAATAATAGACAGCATGATGGACTAACTAACCGGTAACAGGCTCCGTTGCTTATCTCTTTTGCAACTTTTAAAATTCACGAAACCGTCGAATTAGCGGCAATTGTAGGCGTTGTACGTTAGTAGGCGCAGTCCAGACCGCAAAGGGAGTACTATATAGAATTCAAAGACACAAACTTCCAATTTGTCAACAACGATACACCGGCGATCACCATTTTACAATCGACAAATAAATACATTACCCCAATTGGGAATAAACAATTTTACAAGGCTATGTTACAACAGTCGCGTTATTACACCAAGTCCCTGCCCACGACTTCAGACACGCTCTCGTCAACAACACAACACTCACCTTTGTCTTGCCTTCTCGGAACAGCAATTTCATTCCCACTTTCACAAACTCTGGATGTGAAATGAATTCAAACTTCACTGTCGCTCGATCACCCGTACGAAGCACGCCCTGCGGATGGTCCATCTCCACTATTCGCACGGTTTGACGCACAGCCTGCATAACGTCATTTAGCCTCACAGAACACCGCAACAGAACAAGAATGGACGCACGCCACAGTGCAGCATCGCCTGGACGGAAACTTGGTGATAAGCGCATGTGCAACCCTGATCTGCATTTATAACCCATACCTGGTAATTCCTCTGCAGCGTCGTATTATGGCTGTACCATATGATGATCAGCAGTTGTGCGGAGATAAAGGAAACAAAAGATCGACGTACTACAGGATCAGTACCTGGCCTTCAAATTGTCGGGTCGCTGCCAAGCAAAAACTCGATCAGAGGTTTCACGGCGTTGGAGGGCCGTACGTAGTACGTACATTTTGGAGGCGTTTCTGTCTTGTGAACAAGCACCATGCCCTTCCGCACCGACGCTCGCATGACTCGCTTTAACGCAAAAGACACGCATTGCCCTGCCTCGGCCGTCGTAACGTTTGCTCTGTAGGCAACTCATCAGGACGGTGTCACGTAAAACGCTGTTAAGACGGACGAACCTCTTGCGCTGCATGCTCCTGATTATCGTAGGGATGTAGTTCCCATTCGAGTCGGGGCCTATCAAGACCGCGTCGCCAGTCTTGGCTCGCCCAGAATTGACGATCCCGTTCACGACTGTGCCGACGTATGGTACAGACCACACTTCAGTTATGGAGAATTCGAGCGGCTGGTCGATGGCAAACTTTTCGTCGTCGGCCTCGCTGGAAGGGAGGAGGTTCAGGAAGGTGCGGACCTGATGTGTCAAGGTTTAGTTCTCAATATATTTATATGAGAGGGGGATGCAGTACAAAGTCAAGGCCGTCGCCGGTGACGTTGGAGATCTGGAATATGGGACACATCCTAGCAAGGTGAGAGGATCAGCGGCTGTTGAAGAATTTTTGGCTATAGGCGCACCGATCAGAGCCGAAGGACGTGGAGAGTTCGACTGCTGTTTCAAGGTTCTTGACGAAGACTGGAGTTTTTCTGTAACGCCTGCATGAGAGGACGTACACGGTGCCATGGATTGCAGTGCTCACCTGCACCCTGGACTCTTCAAAATCTTAACTACCTGGTCGATCGTTTCCTTCGTCTTGTTGGGAGGGGTCATGTCAATCTTCGTACATCAAATGTCATCAGGAGTGCAGACAGGCAGTCGTCGGACGATTCTACCTTGGTGATGCAAACTACAACAGGAACGCTCAATGCAAGTGCGATTGCTAGATGCTCCTTGGACATTCCAATCAGGCCAGCATTAGCACCAACGATTAATATG